GAAAGAGTATTGATTACTGTCTCCTCTTAGCCTTTTGTGAGCTGTTGGATAGTGTTTGATTTTTCTATAAACATCAGTTGTTTCTTATTGGGCGAAATCTCACAAAAACTCAAAAGAAAAGTTATTTTTAAATCAAGTGTTTTTTATTTGATTTTTATCTTATTTTATTCAAAATATGATCATTTCTGTTTCTTGATTTTGGAGTGAAATATGGCCCAGACATGGTTTTTGAAATTTGATCTACCATTTAGTGTTTACTTGAATTAGTTACCATATTCCATGTTTAATTTCTGTGTGATTGTGTGTAGTTGAGACATTACAGGTTCTGGTAAACGACAGTCTAGGAGGAGCGGTGCAGGATGGCGTATGTGCGGCGGGGCCCGTGACTTTGCCACGACGGGCGGAAACCTTCGGAGGCTTTGATAGTCACCAGATGAACATCTCAAAGAGTAAAGGTGGGTGTGTTTTCCACGTGGGAGTGTGCGTGAGAGCATTTTTGCGATGCCACTTGTGTGCATGGGTGTTTGTTCCAGGTGAGTCTGATTGTGTTTGATCTCCTGCAGATGGAGACAGAGAGGAGACGGAAGACTCTGCAGAGCTCCGCAGGACTGAGTCAGACAGCGTTCTAAAGAAGGTACAAACGGGTCAAAAATTATGTGTTTATCAGAAAGATCATGATGGGAAAAATTTATTTTTTTGGCAGAGTAACATTGCTGCATGAAAAAGACAAGAAAAAAGGAAGCATTTGAAGTGAAAATAACATGGTTTCACCATGAGCTGAACAAAGGAAAAACAAATTATGAATTTGAATTACTGTTTTTAGAATCTCTCTCTCTCTCTCTCTCTATTTAATGTCTAACTCTTAAAAAAAAAAAAAAACTATATATATATTTTTTTTTATTTGTGTATACATAAAAAAAAAGCAATATAGATACATAAAGTTAGTCCAATGTCTTATTTCAGTCTGGACACTTTGACATAAAAACATTAAGAAATATTTAAGCAAATTTTTTTTTAAATATGTTAAATTCATAATATGTTTTTTATTTTCAATTATTTGTATTTTTTTTATTTTGTGCATATGTTAAAAAAATGCATTTGATATGCTATATAAAGATAAAGTTAGTTAAAATTATTGCAGAAGTCTAATTTTAATCTGGACATTTAAAAAAAAAAAAAGAAACATTGTAATTTCAAATGATTAGGAAATATTTAAGATTCTACATTATTTCTAGACCACTAAACAAATCAGCAAATTAACAGTGCAGATGGCATAACTGGTCAAATTAATAAAAATACATTTTTGGAATCTGTTTAATATTTGATATAATAAATGCATTTGTTGTATATACATATTTTATAAGTACACTATTAAAAAAATCTTTTGTTCACTCTTATTACAAGTGCTGTTCTAAGATGTGTTCCCATTACCATCTAATTCGTTAGTCATCAGTGTATCACCATATGCTCAAACCATTAAGTGCTGAGCATCAGAATATATGTCTGCTGTAGCACTCATTACCTGAAGTGAACTGGAGGTTTACACACACTCTCATCACAGAACATAACTGTATAGTAACTTGATAATGAGGACACATTAAGACTGTCCTCTGCTTTACAGCAGCAGAGTAATGAGAACTGTCATCACAGCGTCTTATTCCCGGCAGGTCCTGCGGTACCCTGTCAAAGAGCACATGAATTGCTTATTATTGATTTATGTACGGTAGCCTCTTACCCAGTGCACTGACCATGTGACTGCCTCTCTCTCCCACAGGCAAGCAACGCCAACCCCCTGCTCCTACTCAAGAGGAACAACGAGGTAAGTTTTTCTGTTTAGACACAGCTCAGAACAGATTTCAAGATCAGGTCAAAGGGGAATTGGTTTCAGTACCATGACCAGACACCCTAGCCATATTTACACTTTATAATTAGATTTCCTTCCCAAGCTGTGGTTTAGTGGTTAACTCATGTGCAACATGAGTTTGAGTTAGGATTGGATTATTTTCTGAATCTATCTATATCAGTAACACACACACACACACACGCACTTAACTGCATTTATTAAAAAAATGTGTAAAATCAATACAAATCTCTATTGATTTATTTTAAGTTATTTTTTCAATATGTACTAAAATGGTTCTGTATGTTATATATTCTATGTAATTATTATAATTAATCATTTATCAAATGTTAATATATTAAAATATTAAATATTTAAATATAAATGGTTTAATGTGTTAAATGATATAATTATATTAGTATTATATGTATTTTATATTGTATTAATGAAAATAAAGTATAATCTTTCTATAATTATGTATGTATATAATTATGTAAATGTATATGCATATAACACAAATGTGTTTGTATACTATTATAAATATTTTATAGATGTAATTATTTACAGATTAAATTATTTATAAAAGGTTAAAATATAAAGTGACAAGAAATTAGACTAGCTATCTGCATCTCATTTTTTCCCCCCAATCTTTTTATCCTCCCACAGCAGGTTCTTCAGAGCGTCGCTCAGCTCCATGACCTGCTGAACACATTACAGGTGAGTTATTTTCTTTTTGTCTTGTTAGTTCTCGCTCTGATGTTCAGGCCAGCAGCTCTCATCTGCAGCATGACAGAAGGACATTAAATTTCCAAATGCAGGGGTTTATTTTGCAGGCTTGTAATCAAGCAGAGTGCACTGTGGTGTATTAAGATGCACTCTGATAGATTTGTACCACTATTAAGTGGGTTATTGTCTGCCTTTCCCAAGACAGGTGCTCTATGGCCACCAGATGGGCCTGTTTCACTTGAAATTTGGTTTCGCACATTAATATTCTCACTTCAAGGCCTTTGCAGTTTAACAGCTTTACGTCTTTCCTGTTTGCATGCCGATTAAAACCGCTTTCTTTGCTCACCCTCAACATAGGCTGTTGTTATCCAGCAAGACACCTTCATCGAGGACCAGCGGCATGCCCTCAACGAACGCCCCCAGCCCTCTTCACGCCACCCATCCGTCTCGTCCCTCAACTCCTCCTCTTCCTCCTCCTCATCACGGCCCAGCTCACTAATCGAGCAGGAGAAACAGCGGAGCCTGGAGAAGCAGCGGCAAGAAGTCGCCAGCCTCCAAAAGCAGCAGGCTGCCCACGCCGAGGAGAGGAGGCGCAGGGAAAAAGAGTGGGAAGCGCGGGAGCGGGAACTGGCCCAGAGGGAGTCGCAGCAGCAGACCCAAGAGGAAGAGGTGCAGAGGAGATGGAAAGAGCTGGAAGAGGAGAAGCAAGACCTGCAGAGTAAAAAAGAAGAGTATCAGAGAGACCTGGCGCGGCTCAGAGACAGCCAGAAGAGACTGGAGAAAGAACGAGAGCAAGTGCAGAGAGAGACCGAGCTGATCAGACAAACAGAGGTTATTGTCACTTTTGATCAATTTAATGCACCCTTTCTGAATAAAAGTCTTTTGAATGGTACTATCTATTCCAAGTCTTCTGAATAGCTTTTTGTGAGGAACAAATTTAAATTTGAATCATTATTCACTGGAAATCCGCCCTAATGTTGCTTTAGCGTGTTCATGAAAGAAAGTGATATTTGATGCATAACTGAATCATTCCTTCGAGTCAGAAGACTCTGAAGCTTTAAAGCTTTGGTCTTCATTCATTATATGGAAAAGAGTGACTCACACCATCTTAATTTGTCCTTTTGCGTTCCACGAAAGAAAGTCACAAGGATCTGGAATGACGTGAGAGCGAGGACTGAAAACGAATCTTTTGCCCAATGTTTCATCAGCGTTTCAGTTTTCTATATAATCTCAATGGAAAATATGGTGAAGATGCGTTTGCATGTCATTATTCTGTGATGGTACAGTACTCTCGCACTATGTAATGTTGATTAGTTGAGAAAATCACTAATCTTTTCCATTCCGCCCCAAAATTACATAACTGTTCTGTAATAATGTGAAAACAAAAGGCCTGCACATTCCATTATGTAATTATATTCATCTTGATCTTCATCCTTAATATAGTTCCTTTTTCCTGAACCCTCAGAATGACTCAAAACTTAATAGCACTCGCAGTAACAACTTCTTTGGCAAAAAAAGAGGTTGTGTTTTTCATTTTGGTGTCATGTCTAAACAATTTTTAACAAGTTTTATTTGAATTTCTGCACCATCATCTGCAGGAATTAAGGAAGAACCGGACCCCTTCCACAACGTCTGAGGACTCCTCAAAGTTCCAGAGCACTGGTTCATTGGACCGTGACCCCTCAGAGGTGGAGCTCTCCTCGTCTCCGTCTGCCAGAGACTTCCTGTCCCGCATGGACTCCAAACGCAAAGGGAAGAACCTCAGTCTATTCTCCTCCAATTCAAGCCAGAAAGGCCAGAACAGCGAGGCGCAGAGCCAGATCCCCAGCCGCCTGCTACAGCTGGCCAAACCCAAGGAGAAGAAGGACAAGAAGAAGAAGAAGGGAAAAGGGCAGCAGAGCAAGACTGCAGGTAGAGTGTAGCTCATCATCACATTACATCTGCTTGAGTATTCAACATGAAATTCAAACAGACACCTTTTCCTTTCTCAATGAATCCCCGGTCTTATTGAGCACAAGTCATCTGTGCATGTTATTCTATTAAATGCTTGATTTCAGTGACCGGTTCTGAAACAGCTTTTCTGATGATTTAATGCTACATGGGTGGCGAGAAATAATAGAATTATTACTCAGTTCTCTGTAGTACTTGATTCTAATTGGTCAGCTACATAATTGTGGTCCAGTATTTTCATATAATTACCAATAAACCCAAATTAATTGGTTAATTAAATTAATATTTGTGTATTTGTTTAGTTTTTGTATGAAGATTATTTGTTTGGTTCATCATTTGGAATACTTTGTTTTAATAGATTTTATTTTATTTATTGTATTATTTTTCTTTTTTTTATATTTATAGATTTAATTGGGTTTTTTTGGGGGGGGATGGAGATTATTTAATTTCTCCTTTTAACATTTTCTTGTTTAACTTTACATAGTTTTTAGTTTTCTTGTATAAAGGTTATTTATTTTATTTTATATAGATTTATATACATTTTTTATATTTTGTATGAAGATTATTTAATTTGTTTTTTACCTTTTTAATTTCATTTTATATAGATTTTAGTTTAGTTTTTTTGTATGAAGATTATTTGTTTCATTTTTTTTTATATGGAGACTATTTGTTTGATTTATATGTAATTTTACATGGGGTTTAATGTTTTTGTATGAATATTATTTATTTTATATATCCTTTATTTTTATTTATTTTTTGTATGGAAATTATTTTATGTAATTTATGTAGATTGTTTTTTTTTTGTTTGTTTGTTTTTGGATTGTTTGTTTGGTTTATCTTTTCGATATTTTTTTTATTTAGAGATTTAATTGTACATATATTTTGTTTGTTTGAAGATTAGCAATGAAAATAGTCTTCAGTGCTGACATGCCATTAGTCAATTACTCCAGTTACTTATTTGAAACATAGTCATGAATTAAGCATAATCATGTACAGTCAGTCGTTTCGTGATCATGACTGGCTGACTATACATTTTCCCATTCGTATCAGCTTTTACAATCCGTTCAAATCCTGACAGATGAAATAAACTCTCACCCCACACTGTAATTATACCACTGAATATTGTTTTCACTTAGAAATATGACACATCATGTAAGTTCAATGTATTGTAAATGCTATTTCATGTTGGTATTGCAATTACTTCTAAAAGTTCAGAAGTAAAACGAGTTTTTCTCTCTTTGCAGATTCTCAGAGCGCTGTGGTTCCAGACTCTACCCCGGACGGAGAGATCTTTTTCTGCTGATTCGGCCCCCTCTTCATCTTTCACTATCCCACAATGCCTCCAAGCAGGGCTGCTGGTCTCTGGTTGTGGACTTGTAAACCGGAGTTAGAAGCCACATACCTGTGGTCTCGAAGGGCGTTAGGCCTGGACAGGAAGTTTAAACTGATTGTTTCCTGTGACCTGATTTTCAGCGGCCAGCATACTGCACGTTGCCTTCCATCCCTCACATACACCTATGAACGCAAGCAGGGGCCTGGAGCAGGAGTTTGGGGAACAGAACATGTCAGATAAACCCACTGCGGGCACTTTTTCACACAGACTTCCTGTGAAGATCAAAAAGAGATTTATAACAGCAAGAGGCATCACGCTGAGAGACAGCTGGCTTTCCAACGACCGCAAAAGTCGCTTTCTGAAGGACATTTGACTAATGAACATACTAATAATCAAAGTGAGTGAACTCAAAGTGCAGTTGGCAATGCAGTGATTAAGTTTCTATGTTTCCATCCTTTTTCTTTCATCCCTGCCATGTTACAATGTGCCTCACCAATATAGTCTTTTGGACCAGACTTGGTTTATATACAGTCCCAAGGTTTTATTTCTTTTAAAAAGGTCGCAAAATACTGTTTATGAATAGAAGGGATGCTTTTGAAAACATTTTAGTGAGCACGACAGAAATGGAAGTGCAAAAGAGTGTAAGAATTGTTTTTTTAATTAATTTTGTTAATTACTTTTCCAGTCCTAAATGACTGAAAGAGAAAATGAAAATTCATGATTCACTTTGTTGCGACTCTAAAGGCTTCACAAACCCCACAGACGTTTTCTTTTTTTCTTCTAAACCTCAATGCAATTTTAATCCTTAGCACTTTATAAGCAGACGTCGAGTGGGAAAAAATGGCTGGCTTTAAAACGAGACAATCGATCAGCTCCACTTAACTGGTAAACGGCCTCCTTTGTACGTGTGAGGTTTTATTTGATAATCTTTTACTGTACCATATGAATGTTATGTAAATTTGTTCAACCAAACACATAGCTAGCTTTCACGTTAAGCTACCAAAAGAGCGGGTGTTTTAACTGCAGTATTTTTGTCTTTTTAAGGTTCAAATTGAGCGAGATGAGGGATTCGGCTTTATGTAGGCTAACAAATTCAAGTTGTATTAGCCACAAAGTATCGCAGTTCTACGCTCAAGCCAGAAATGTTGATTTGACAGGCCAATGTGGTAAAAGTATGAATATACATTGTGTTTGTGTATTAAACGCCTGGTTTGTACTCTCTAATCACTAGATTTTAGCCAAACAAAAGCCCTTGCCTGCTGGCCAGGCGAACCGTTCTGCTGAACATAAGGAAATATTTTAAGAAAGGGGAAATTGTGCAGATAAAAAATGTTAATTTAAGCTTTCTGCTCTGTTTTTATTTTCTTGCCATTAAACTTCTACCTAACACGCCTCTCTAATACATTAGAGTGATGAATGCCTCATGATTCATTTATTGATCAGTTCCCTCTGACCTCTTGGGATCTAATTCATACGTCCAAGAGATTTTTATTATCTGTCAGCATATTCCCATAGCTGCTGACGCTGACATTCTGTTATGGTGCTAAACTGAGAATTGAAATGCCTTAACCAATAGAGGGCGGTGTGTCCGCTCTGATTTCCACAGACACTTCAAACTCCCCAAACACAATGTTTTGTCGGATAATTGAGTAATGTTGAGAAATTTCATGCTCACGTTCAACTAGCCTTAAATATTCCCCAAATCCTACAGTGTTTTTCAGTTCCTTTTTATCGCCAATTCTTCCTTCAGGGAAACACATCATTCAAGATGAATTATTACTAGCACAATTAAAGCTAGTCGGAAGTATTCTCGCTCATTTGGCTCATATTGGCTGGCATAAGAAATGCTCTAAAGATAAATCCAAATCATCCCGTTAATGCAAATCAAACGTACGTCTGCTTCACGCAATGGACATTATGTAGACACTATATTTAATTAAAATTTTTCAAAAGTTAAATTGATTGTTCTGCTGACACAACATTTAAAATACTTTTTTTTTTTTAAATCCTGGTGTCAAAATTGTTTTTGTGAAAATTACACTGCTTTTATCCCTCACAGTCTCGTTTTCATTCACGAAAAATTAAACATGGCGTCTACCATCATTAAGGTCCGTGGTTAGTAAGAGGTACCATAATTTCTTGTCACATTTTGTGTAAAAAAAAAACGGCAAAATACCACAAATACTGTAAATATCTGTAATGTACAAAAAAAAAATTGTAAAAGTATTAATTATGGATTTTTGTTTGTGTGTGTGTGCTTTGATTTAAAGCTTTTTATAACTAGCTTCATTTATTTCTTGTCACATTTTGTGTAAAAAAAAAACGGCAAAATACCACAAATACTGTAAATATCTGTAATGTACAAAAAAAAATGGTAAAAGTATTAATTATGGATTTTTGTTTGTGTGTGTGTGCTTTGATTTAAAGCTTTTTATAACTAGCTTCATTTGTCAGCATTCTCTGTGTTGGAGACATGAAAAGTGTACATTAAAAAAAATCTTAAATAACTATTGTACATCAGCCTGTGTTCATGTTTATTTTTTTGCTCGGGTTATAGAGAGTGTGAGAGATACAATAGATAGATACAAATAATTTATATTTAAATCACATATATTTCACATAGTATAACTTGTTGATGATGATAGATAGATAGATAGATAGATATATAGATAGATAGATAGATAGATAGATAGATAGATAGAAAAACAAAACAAAAACAAAAAAAGCTGTGGTTGCCAGAATTTACCATAAAAAATACGGTAGCAACATTTTTGGTTTTATGGCTTTGGAAGTTCTATTGAAGTTCTGAAATCTGTTTAGTATCTTTGTAATACTCTGATAACCACATGATGAACCAAAATTCATCACAAGCAGCTTTTCCTCAAGCTGAGAACAAAAATACTTATATAGAAGGTTTGCTGTGACATTCACACAAATACTAAACACCATTTTACAGTCTTTTTACCGTTAAAATCACAATTCTTTTTTACAGTAAGATTAAGTCTTAATTGTCAGACTGAAGCCAGCTGTTCAGAAGCCATGCTTGATTGAAGCACCTGTTGCTACTTTCTCTTCCTCCTGTCTGGTCTAGCTCAAGGTTTCCCAGCGACAGACACCAACGTGAGTCCATTTGTCCTGCTTTGAGCGAAGCGACTGCCTCCTAAATGTGTTTTTTTCTTTCACAAGGTTGGTTGGATGTGTTTGAAGGGGGGCCATGGCATCTTTCCCGTTTGGACTCCATTGACTTTGTCTTTGTTCCTGTTGCCAAGCTACCCTGCTCTTTGGCAAGCACAAAGGTAGGAAACAGTGCTTGAAGGTAATGCTAAGCTGAAAAGAACTAGTTCCTTGTCAGATTAAAGACTGGATGTTCATTTTTCTGCTTGTTTACAAGGTGATTTTATCCAGCCCTGGAGGAATGTTCTCATCTTTATCCAGATAACTTAAATCCAAGTCTTGGTGGCTTTAGCTAGGGATACACTTGTGTTTGTCCTTGTTCCTGAAGAATTAAGCATTTTTTCTTTTGGGAGTTGCTCTTAAAGAAGCTCAGATATCTAGTTTAAAGTGCATCTCATTGGTTTTTCCATTTTTGTCTCCTGCATTGTGACCTTTTCTAGGACTTGCCATCCGTCAACTCCCAGTAATGTCATGTTTTGTATTTGTGAAAGATCCCTCAGTATCTGTCATTGTTGTCCCATTTTGTCTATCTGTTGATTGGGTTTTGCTGTACCATCTCTCTTTCTCTTGCTTTCCAAAGAAAACAAAGGATCCACATGCAACCTAGAGAAACCTGAGCCTTTGTTACGCGCTGACAGTCCATGTATAAATATCAGTTGTATGTCAGGGAGAACAATAGCTCTGTGCTGCTGGTGTTTTCTGATACATGAGGGACTGTGGCCTTTTATGTGCCTAGAAGAACAGCGCTCATGAAATTGTTGTTGGGTTTCCTTGGGATAAGGTTGTGCTGGCTATCCGATGATTTCCATTCGCATGTGACATCTCACTTTGTATTGGCGCGGATGCTAGAATCTCTAGAAAGAGTTTAATAAAGCCGTTAGAGAGCAACGGGACATTTCATTAGGTCCACTCAAGACTGCCATTCAATGAGCAAGAAAGTGTTGATGTATTAGGAATTAGAAATTAGGAAATTTCTGTAAATCTACTTAGTGATACTATTAAAGCACATGAGATGGTTGTTCTTGAGGTCATGTAGAGGTTTAATGGTCTGACTCATCATGGTGCAGACATTTATTATTGCTAAAGTCCACAGAAACATGTCAAGTGTAATTTAATGTAATGCTCAAAAATTAGATGAAGGATACTCTCAAGCAGTGTTGCCAAGTCTGCGGTTTTCCCATGGAATTTGGCTACTTTAACACTGTTGCCACGGGTTGAAGCAACCCCAATAATGCGTATTTTATCCCCGGAACGTGATTTTTAACGGGGGACCCCTCTTGAAATGTGATTGGGCTAGTTTTGAGTAACAGTTTGGTGGGTTTTGTTGTGAAAACCTGGCAACCCTGCTCTCAAGTAGGGATGCATGATATATTGGTTAACCAATAGATGGATGGATGGATGGATGGTTATTTAATCGTTTATTTATCATCTAGCCCTCAGGTAATTTTACAAATTAAATGTTTTCTTATATGAAATGTAATGTATTAACTCAATGTGTCTAATAGCTACAATAAATGAATGAACGATGTTAAATGTAACATTTAGCAAATTTAAAAATGCATTTTTTTTGTACTGTATGTTGAGATGCCTAAATTCACTTGTAGCAATTATTAATATCAGCTTTTAGAGTTTTAATCATTTTAACATTTTATTTACTTAATTGTTTTCCAAGAACCAACCCAAGCTATTGTTTGATTTAGAGTTTGTTTTACGATTAGAGTAGTTTAGTTAGCCAGACTGGCCTTGTAAAACCACCATCTCGTGCCAGCCTGTAAATCAACGTGACCCTTCGCTCTCTGTTCCGTTTATCTTTCTCATGCTGCCCCACGTGCCCATCTATCTCTCCATCTGTAGTTGTGATATTGTGGCACTCTATCACTGTCTGCGGTGCTGCAGTGAGGGAGGATGCGTCTCATTCGTCTGTCTCCCCTCCCCCGGCCAGCGGTCCTGATGAGAGAGACTGCGGTATTTGCACTTCATCATTCGGTTTCCTGCCGCCCCTTGGCTCTCATCAGCTGTAATCGTATTTCACCTGCTACCTTAAATCAGGAAGCCTCTTGTGTGCATCGCTGTTGGGGTTTGTTGCAGCTCTTCACTCTATTTGCAGTCATTGTTCTTGGAGCAGGACAGACAAGAACAAAGAAATCCATCATTCCTTTACACATTTATCTAATTTCTCTTTTTCTAATAAGATGAATTAAGAGTAACGGGACATTGCAATTTTTAAATCTTAACACTTTTGCGTGGACGACAACAAAAATGGACAGGAAGCTGAAGGGAAAAAAATTCTTAATAGTAGTATTTTATTTGTCAATTTAAACATTTACTGTTTTAAAGCAATAACTAATGAACTTACATTGACCTTTGAATAGCAGATGCATATAACATTTAACTTTTGTATACAATATTTATTGCAAATTATTTTACTAATTGTGCATTATCGATTGACAATGCTGTTGGTAGATTTTGGAGTGCTTCTTTAAATCAGCTACGCAGATCTAATGCTTCCCTACTATATACTATATAGTATGTGAAAACGGTAGGCTACACAGAAGTTGCGTCCCAAATGACGCACTATACACTATGCACTCATCTACTATGTACTTATGCACTATGTACTCAACCATGTATAGTATGAATTATATAAGGTTATTTTGTCATTCATATTTGGAGTCTCATAGTCCCTCCCCCTTCGGTACATAATTAAAGCTGCGACAATTGAGTGCATGATGTGTCCAACACTCCACACTTCATTTTTTCGGTTATTTAAGTGCATCATCCGGGTATTTAAAGTGCAATTTTTCTTTTTGGAATTTTCAGTGTGAACGCACTACTCGCACTATTTATACTACAAAACGTCATAGAATAGTGCATAAGTACGCGATTTGGGACGCACATAGAGTAGTATGTCCAAATTCATAGTATTTGAAGAACTGTAGGTGGAAAGTACCCGGATGATCTGCTACTTCCAGTGAGATTTTGAAGCTCTCATTCAATGGACACGAATGAAGCTACGAGAGAAGATAAATGGCAGTGAAGCAGCGCAATTGACGCTGGTAGGTCATGTAACGGTAACAAAATGCCGAAAATAGTACATCCGAATTTCTTTCATACTATCCATATTCATATATAGAACATGCTTTTTTTTAACGGTCACGAAGTTTGTTCAAATTCACATGTAGTACCAACTCAGTTAGCAATCATTTTCGGATGCACTGAAACTTTTTTTTTTTAAGTTGTCACAGCACATTAACACATTGAGGCATGGCAATTCGTAACATTTTGGCAAATTGCTGGATAATTCATATTGATTTGCACAATCTCATCGGCCTAGGCTACTGTATGTAGCCTGCGTTTTTGTATGATCTGCTCACACCCCAGTGACTGTTTAGGGGCGGGCCTTTTTCTACAAATCTTACGTTTTGTATGATTCACATCGTACAAATTCATACGAAATCGCCACCTTGTAAAATGGCTACATTTCCTTTGAGATCAGGTTGATGAGATGCTGAAAACTGGCAAAAATGTAACAGTGGCTAAAGACGTCAGTCTGCATGTGTATACTAACAATTAAAACAATCGTGGAAGTATCTTTGCGATTCTCTCGCGATTAATTTTGTTATAATTTAAAATAGCATATTAAATGATCTTTAGTAGATTCACTGTACTTAATTATTAGCCTACCTTCCGTAGAGTGGAACTGTTAAAAATCAAATGGCTGCCCTATAAATGCTTTCCACAGCTTTGGAAAATCCCTTGATAACTTATTCTCTGGTGCTTTATATAACAAGACGTATTATTCCTTTCCATTTAAAGCAGACCGTGAATATCGCAACACCCACATAACGTGAAGAGTCAGAGCGACTGCCTCCGACTCCCTGACCCATCCTGACTGGTGTTCCCAAAACCGAGCCAAAAACTAGCAAGAATAAAGAGGTGGAGTGATGAGAGACGAGAAATCTCCCTCTCCTCTAACAGGAAAGGAAGCTATTATACAAAAATCTTCTCCCAGCCAGGGCCACAATAAGACCCAACGGTTAAGACATGCATGCGGTGGATAGGGCAGTATTGTTCCCCGGCCCCCTCTCTCTATTATGGCTGTCAGCCGCTCTCTTTTAATGTGCCTGTTTTGAGGGAGATTAGAGCTGGGTGATGGGGCCGTTTGGCCGGTCGTTCTGGGTTCTTTGAGAAGCTTCTGTGTGGTGATTGTGAGCGCTGGGCTATTCCATTAGTGTCAGGATGACTGAGTCCTCGCTGGAACAGCCACACAGAGCTCGGCTTCTCTAGTCAGCAAGCAGGAAATTTCAATTGGACCGGCGGCCCCGTCACAAAGTATCAAATGGCAAGTCAGCTCTGGCATTAATGCCGGGGAAGAATGCATTGGCCCAGTCTGTGCTCAGCTCATCACGAGGCAAGAGTGGAGGACTTCGCTGCATTCTTCCATTCTATGATGTTATGCGGGGGAATAAATGAAACATTTATATATCTGAAACCTTTATATCTCTATAGAGGGAAGTGTTTCAGAATGATTCAAACCGGTAACTATTCACAGTGGTTCCCAACTTGGTGGTCGATTTAATAAAGGTTGCGGAGCTCACTTTAGTTTGTGGGTTATAAATAGGGATGAAGTCTCGCCCGACTGGAACAATGCTTTATGGTCTCTGGTGTTTCTAGTCAAATTAACTTATTTTCTGAACTGATAATATAACGTTAAACCTATGAAAATGGTTTTAAAAAGCACATGGCACCATAGTTTCATCACTTTACAGTGTCGCAATGACCGTCTTTTCACAGTAACTCACCTGTCATAATTTAATGAGTAGGAAGATGACATGAAGTGACGCGAGGTTAGCTGCATTGAAAACGGATGAGGGCACATAGAGTATATACAGGTATTGTACAGTATTTTAACTTAACCATGCTGCAAACCATGCTCGTTTTCCTTTGTCATCGTTTCTGCAAGGCATACAGCGCCGGACATGAACAGATTTGCTGGTACACAAAACAAGTACTTTACAGGAATTCCTTAAGCTTATTTCTGTTACTGCTGTTGCTGTTTTTTTTTTTCTTTCTCATTTTAACATGGGTTTCTGGAGACCAGAACACGAGAAGTGAAGGTGCG